GAAAAACATTGGTGTTAAGGCTTTTCCTATTAGCATTAGGCTTTGAATCTTTCTTATAATTATTGTTGATCCCTTGACTTGTGAGGGACAACTCATATTTTTATTCAGTAAAGAAATCTCTTCTTTAAACCCTTGTTACGGCCGAGCTCTATTATCGTAGCAAGAGCTACATCACTCGGGCAACGACATCAATATCCGAGCCGACGCAGTTTCTTCGTCAGAAGAGTAACCAGAGAATCTTACATCCTAAGTTACAGCATAGGAAAATAAACGAACAAGTTATATAGCTTCACACAACCCGAAATAAAACATGTTTTAGGTTTCAATATCCCATAAAGAATCGTATTTTGGAAGGTAGAGAATGTTGCTTCTCACCCTCTCTTGCCTCTACAAATAGATATGCAATTTACAAGATTGCTCAATAATCGTAACTCATAAACCAACAAACTATCCCCTCTAACTTGGGAAAATAAGATGGAATAACAAAATAATTTGGATGAAATTTTGTTTTCTTAAGAACTTGGGAGAGAATATGAGGTTTTAGGAAGTGGAACCTTTAATTATTTTGATATCAAATTGGAACAACTTGTTACAAATAAAACGGGGAGAGGTATTACAACGATGGAGGACAAAACCATGGATATGGACTCGTTGGGGCTGATCATGGAAGAAGAAGATCAAAACGAGGGTAATAGTCTCGGACGCTTCTACGTGAAGTGCACATGGATGGAGTTCCTATTGGAAGAAATTAGATCGATCTATTGTCTCTTAATTAACTGTTACCATGATTTGGTCACAACTCTCGATTTCATGTTCAACGCTTCAATCATTCGGTATACATATAATTTGCATACATCATAAGAAGCATACACTTAAGAGCAAATACCTTGCAGACAAATCACTCTGTAATTAAACTACATAGATTATATTGGTTATACCATTTCCACAACTTGTGGCAAAGAAAGTTTGATAAGAAACTTTTTACCAAAACGTTAATGAAAAAAAAAAAAAAATTTATCCAAAACAATTATTGATCAAAAAGATCTCAACAGAAAATTAATTTTATATTTCGAAAATATACGATTACATATTCTCAGTCTTACTACAGTTATTTTAGTATATTTAATATTTAAAAGTGTATTTTTCATAAAAAAAGATACACTTGTTACCAAAGCATAAAAAACATACATTACAAAAACCAAATCCAAAAAAACCCTCTTAAGCCACTCTGGTTATATTGTCCTCACTGCACACAAATTTACAAGAAAACAACAAAAATGAAGGAACAAATTCATTTCTTTGAAAGACGAAACCTCCGAGAGAGAAATTGGAATGAGAGAAGTAGAAGAGGTTACTTCACAATCAAGCAAACTGTTTCTCTTTCATGTTCAACCAAGTTTCACAGTAACTTACCAAGAAAGTAACCATGGTGATCTACGTAAACTGTTTGATTTCTCTTCCGCAAGTTATCGAGCTTCACATTTGATATACGAACGTTTCTTACATACCCGCCTCTTCCAGGTGAAGTTTTTGATTCTGACTCCGGTAGTATTCGAATGGAATAAATGTAAGTCTTTGATATAGATTTTGGATACACCTCCTGACATTTGACTTCCGATTGCGATTCCAGAGCTTGAAGTAGTTTGACACGTTAACCGGTTGATCTTGATTTTGGAGCTCGGTCTTACGTAAGATATTTCGTACTCATTCCATCCACATTTTATCGATACCAAATCATCTCCGGTAACTATGTAACAATGAGTCTGCAAATAGAATAATTCGGAAAGAGATTATGAGATATACATCAGGAAAATGACATTTTTGGCGAAGTATCATTGCAAAGCTAGTA